GATGAGAGTGTCAGTGTGGAATGAGGAAGGGAGGAGAGGAGGCCCTGGGCTCTGCATAGTGACTGATCGGCCATCCTCCTTCCCTGAGCGAGGTGGTGGGGCGCAGGGCTGGCCGGAAGTTGCTCCTCGCCTTTGAGAAACTGGTAAACCAGCTGCCACGTGTGTCAGAGGACTGTGCTCCACAGGGTCTAACGTGGCTGATTCCGTGGCTGATTTTTCAGAAGCAGATTGCCAGGCCTTCCTTCTGAGGCACCTGGGACTTGAACCGCCAGACTTTTAGTTCGCAGCTGAGCGTGGTAACCGTTTGGACCACCCAGGAAAGGAAGCCGCTATCCTTGTGTCTGGTGCTGCCTTGCCAGCTACCAAAGTTGGAGCAAGGATTGACTTTATCAAACACCCTCTTACCCTTACATGGGTCTGGTTAGGCCAGTCGGCTGGGGCAGACGGAAGCAGCCCTCCACCTCAACAGCCCTCCTGGGGGGCACATAACAGGTACCCACCAGGTGGCACTAGCATCTCTATAGCTTACTGCCATCAAGTCGATCCTGACTCATAGCGACCCCTCCTTGGGTTTCCGAGGAGGTATCTCTGTGGAAGTAGATCGCCCAACCTTCCTTCCGAGGAGTGGCTGGTGGGTTTGAACCTCCAGCCTTCTGGTAAGCAGTCAAATGCCTTAGGCACTATGCCACCAGAGCTTCTTCTGTAGCTTAGACTCCTAGATATGGTCATCTGGGCCCCAGGGTGCGTGTCGATGAAAAATGTCAAAATGTGCCACACTGACTTGCCCCACATGAACCAACTGACAGTCCCACACACAGTACCTACGAGTGTGGGTGCAAAAGTGAAAGGTCCCAGCCAATGGGGCCGGTTTCTCCCCCGCCCCCAGTTCCAGAAGAAGAGCCATGACCAACGTCCCTGACCTGAGCTCAGTGTCCCTGTGGTGACTTCTGCTCAGTGACAGAGATGCACATTTTATTTCACATATTTTTGCATTGTTTGACTTTGCTACAGTGACTATGTATTTCTCTTCTTAAAACACTTTAGTAAGTAGTGTATGATCCTGGTGAAGGTATTGGCCCAAATTGAGATAGGGTTGGCTCTATTCTGGGTTTTGAAAAGTGTCAATGTTTCTGTCAGAAAGTAATGACCAGCAGGTGGTCTTGAACAAGTCCCCTTAACTTCTCTGAGCCTCGGTGCCGTCAGCCTACCTATCAAGTTGAAAGGAGCCCTGGTGGTGATGCAGTGGTTAAAGCGCTCAGACGCAACCAAAAGGTCAGCAGTTGGAACCTGCCAGCCACTCCATAGGAGAAAGATGAGGTACTCTGATTCTTAAAGATGAACAGCCTTGGAAACCCTGTGGGGCAGTTCTACTCTGTCCTGTGGGGCAGTTCTACTACATCCTGTGGGGCAGTTCTACTCTGTCCTGTAGGGTTGCTCTGAGTTGGAATCAACTCGATGATAATGAGTTTGGTTTATTTGGTTACAGGGTTGAAAGGAGCCCTGGTGGTGCAGTGGTTAAATGCTCAACTGCTAAGGTAGTGAGTCGAACCCCCAGCCACTCCTTGAGAGAAAGATGTGACAATCTTTCCATAAAAATTACAGCCTTGGAAACCCTGTGAGGCAGTCCCAGTCAGCCCTATAGGGTTGCTGTGAGTTGGAATTGAGTCGATGGCAACGAGTTTTTTCCAGGGCTAATGTGGTATCTAGGAGCTCTGGTAGCATAGTGGCTAAGGCACTTGACTGCTAACCAGAAGGCTGGCGGTTCAAACCCACCAGCCACTCCTCGGAAGGAAGGT